AAGGGGCAGCAGCAGGAACAAGGAAAGAAAAACACAGAAAAAAAACAACAGTGCATAACGAAACAACAAAAAAAATAATGCATAACGAAACAACAAAAAAAAACTACTGAAGAAGAAAGCAGAGCTATACATACATGCAACCTATTTCACTTACTTTTCTTTTAGCCACTGTCACGTCGCCGGGGGCTCACACAGGCACAACAGAGGCTCTTCGTCGGCCCTGCATCTCCACGGGAAGCTCAACCGAGCAAGCCTCCTCCATTCGCATCTCCTCAACGCGTGGCTGCGGTGGGACCCCATTTTCGGGGGGAACACAAGCTCGCCGGGGAAAGGCATCAGCTGCGTGCAGCCCGCTATGATTAACCCCGTAGAAGAGGTACCAGGAGATGGAAACTGCCACAACAAGGATGTAGTTGCGCCACGCCGCCAGTGGTAGAAAAAACAATTGCAAACAATTAAACATCACTCCAAAAAAAGGCACAATAGGGAAAAATGGAGCCACAAAGGGTCTCGGAAAGTCTGGGAAATCAACCCTAATCTTCCACATGGAAACACATACGCAGTTGAAAGTCACAAGCGTGCCAAATGAAATGATCTGGCTGAGGACCTCCAGCGGAAAAAGTCCACCGATGACGGCGCCAGCCACACCACAAAGTATCGTGGCATTCACAGGGGTTTGAAATCTGGGATGTATACGAGAAAACACAGGTGGCAACAGTCCATCCTTGGCCAATGTCATTGCAAGTCGAGGCATCGCAAATAGACAGGCAAAACACACTGAACTTAGACTCGCTATTGTGCCAATGTCTACAAGAATTCGCAGAAATGATGGTGCCCCAACCATGTGAAGTGCCATGACCACAGGCGCTTCAACGTTCAAGGCGGTGTACTTCACCATTCCAGTCAGCGTGAGGGTGACAAGAACATACAGAGCAGAAGATATAAATAATGTATAGATGACGCCGCGTGGAAGGTCCCGCTGGGGATTTCGGCACTCTTGGGCACTCGCGCAAATGGTGTCAAATCCCACATTTGCGAAAAAAACAATGCCCGCCCCACGAAGAATTCCGCTCGCGCCGTACTTGCCAAACTCACCAGTGTTGGGAGGCACAAAAGGAGTGAGATTAAACTTGAATTCGCCCCAATGAGTCAGTGCGAAATGAACTCCGTATAGTACAAAACTGCCAAGTACAAGGAACTTTACAATAACAAAAAAATTGTTTACGGTGGCGGTCTCAGAAATCCCCACGCACAACACAATGGAACAGACTGAAGTTAAAAACATCGCCGGGATGTCAAAGTAGTTCCCAGTGAGGACGAAGCTGTCACCGGAGACACCAATCGGTGAACCCCCAAAGCCCGGCGGAAACACAATAGAAAACTCTCGAAGGAAGGCCTGAACACTAGAAGACCAACTTACTGACACGGCGGAACCAGAGACAAGGCATTCCAGAGTCAGGCATACCGCAACTATCCAGGAGGTAAACTCCCCAAGCGCCACAGCCGTATGAGTGTAGGCACTACCTGCCACAGGAATCATCGCTGCCAACTCCCCATAGCATAGCGCTGTGAAGAGGCAGGGCAGGATGCACAATAAAAAGGAAATGGTAAGAGCAGGCCCAGCGTAGAGCGCCGCAGCCTGGCCTGTGATCACAAAAGCGCCGGCCCCAACAACTGCTCCAACGCCAAGACTCACAAGTGAGCTCAACCCAAGTGTGCGTCGGAACTCATTACCTTCCAGTGCCGCCACGGTCGCATATATGCATCTACGCCGTAAAAGTTGCCGAAAAAAATTGGTGCCTAGCCGGCTCTCGGAACTGGTGACTATGTCCATTGCGGCCCAAAACTGAATGCTAAGGGAAAACCTAGTACCCCTCCCCCCCAGCTGACCCCAAATAGGAGACAAACCCGATAGACAAAAAAAAAGTAAATGAAAAGAACAACAAAAAAGCAACACGAAAGCAACCATCTCTAAAGAAAGCACAAGCAAAAAAAAAATACGCATGCATGCAGAGATGCCCTTTCAAAGGCTGCCGCGGAAACGAGTTCAGGCCAATATAGGCATGTGCGGGAAAGAAAACAGGGCGGCTCTTAGTCTCTCCCGCTTCTGATGCACACGAAACCTCCGCAGTTGACGCCAATGAGAAAGTGTGTGTGAGAGAGAGACGAACAGGACAAAAACAACAACAACAACCCAAGACCGTTCAAGAAAGTAAAAAAAAAAACAATGCCGGCTCGGTAGCGCAGACGTAAATAAGATCAGATATATATATATGTGGGAGGACCCAATCGACGCAACAACCATTAAAGATTTGAGTGAAACCACCTCATGATTCAACACCCCTCCTCGTCTCATTTCGCGGAGTATTTACGATAATATAGTCCCCTCTCATGTAATCCTGTTCCCTTTTCGTCGTCGTCCTTCGTCCTGGCATTCGTTAACACACCTTTTCTCTTCTTTTTTTTCCTTTTTTTTTTCACTTTCCTCGTCTGCACTTTTCACATCATTGACGGCGTAGCTGCTTTGCGCCGAGAGGGTCGTGGTCGCGAATCGGCTGTACTATTCAAAAAAGTTACTGAAAAGAAGCTGAGCCGCGGCCTCCTCGCTCTCTTCGCAGGCACGGTAAGCCTCAAGCGCGTCCTGCTCTGTCCATGCGCCTCCGCCCAATTCAACGAGGCGTTCGATCACGACACGTTCCCCTTCTCTCAGTGGAATCAAGACGGGGTCCGCGGGGGCACCACCACCAACATCGCCGCTGCCGCCAGTTGTGAGCTCTGCCTGGCCAGGCGTTCCCATAATCCGCAGAAACTCGTCTGGATCCTGCTGAATCAACTCAATAACCTGCGGGTGGTGAATATGGAGCTGTTGTATGACGGTGGGAAGCGACTCCGGATTGGCCTGAACTATCGCGCGTATCTCGCCAAACTGTGGAATTGCCATCAAGGCGTTGTAAAGAGGTGAGTCACTAGTGCCTTGCCGCATGTGCGCCATTAGCCGATCCGTCGGCACCGACGTCTGTCCGAGGCCCTCGGACGGTGTAATAACAGGTTCATTCCACCGCTGCAACGCACTGGGCGGTATCCCCGTGCAAAGGAACTCAACAGCACGATCAGGGTTCATGTACGCAGCTCGTAATGCCAACGCCACCTGTTCGCGATCGTCAAACCCCATGGCGACGATGCTGTCAATGAGGGCAGGATCAACACCATGTGAAGCCGAGCCCTGCTGAGATGCTGCCGTCGCTGCTGTCGAAGAAGATGGCTCCAGCACGGGAGGTGGCACGCTTCCTTCAACGGGGGTCGCTTCCGCTCCAGCCGTCGCGGGTTCCGTTTCTGCGGCTTCTTTCGCTCCTTCTTCAACTGAAGTCGTCTCAGCCAATGGAGGTGTTTTTGTGTCTGGCGGTGGAACGGATGCCGTTGGCTTAGGTGGGGGATTCCTCTTACTCTGCTTGCTCCCCGCGATGATAAAAACCGCATTCTCCTCCACGCCCAGCTCTGCCATTGTCTGTGCATTGCCAACAACAGCACCCTTGTGGCACAAATGCAAACTATTCATATTGTACTCACCCTCCAGAAGCCTTTTAAGGGCCTCCACATTCGTATCAGGTGTTACTTCCTGCACCTGTTCCTTTCCCATAAGGCTCCGCAGGATAATCTTCATCGTTTCCCTAGCACCGCACCTGTTTGATGTCGCAGTGACCAATGGAGTTGCTTCTTTCAGATCTTCTTAAAAAGAAGTAAGGGGGGAGGGGAGAGAGAGGAGAAAGGAATAATAAAAGAAAAGGGAAAGAAGCACGAAAAAAAAGGCAGATTATTCTTTGTCTTTCAAGGCGCGAATCTCCTCACCCTTGACGTGAAAGGCACACACCCCATTGGCCAGAGTTGCAGCACCTCGACTCTGTCGAAAATAAGTCTCCAGAGAAGGTAGATATCACACGGCACACATGGCCGTCAACTGTACATCAAGACCAAAAAAAAAAACAAATGTATATATATATACACGTCGAGAGAAGCTCGACAGCATCCCATTCGCTTCTCACTAGGTTCAAAAGCGCATCGGTGGCCCTTTGGGCGGCTTTGGGGGAATAGTGGGGGCCCTCTGCCGATACAACTCCCAACAGAGTGCATAGTCGGCTGCTGTGAGCCTTGGCACCTTCTTTGTTCGTAGGTGGATGTGTCTTTGCTTCCTCTCGGCCAACTCCTTTCTGCCCGTCACGGCAGGCTGTGAAACCACAGGCAATTCTCTTGGTGGAGAGTCCACGACGACATCAGTGTCGCTGCTATTGTGACGTTCAGCACGAAGAGCCCCAATGCTGATGAGAGACGGAGTCGAAATTGACAACCTTTTCGGCCCCTTCCTTGAGTGAAGCTGTAGTTGCTGCTTCCGCGAGGCCCTAAGGTACGTCTCGTATGCTGGATTGCGTGAATCCGTGCAACTCTTTGCGAGTGAGTCGCAGGCCAGGGCATAGAGGCAAAGCTTGCCGCCGCATTGCACTACTTGGGCCTCTACAAGATAGTGAATAGTATCCTTTGGTTGGGCACCAAGGGAAAAGCCACACAAAACCGTCGTGTTGGTCTCCACCGTGAGCAGCCAACACGCACCTGGATACCGCTGCTGCACGCACGCAGGAATCCGCCGCCTGGAAGACATTATTTTCGTCGCCTCAAAGGAAACCATCTTACCAACATCCGTCCACTGCAACGCGTCCAGTTTAACACTTGCACAAGGACTCTCAGCCGATGCTTCAACTGTCGGTTTTGGAGAACCGGCAGCTTCCTTCTCCAGCGACACACTAACAAACTCTTGTTTCCCAAAAACGTCACAAAGCTCCAAGGTGACACCAAAAGATCGCTCCAGTGCTATGAGCTCTTCTGGGGTTGGAAATAAGTCTCGTTCAAGAATAGTGCGCAGCGACGAACACGCGCACAAGGCATGAAGCTTCGTGTAGCAGCGAATGCAAGCTTCAGAGAGCATTCTTCGCAGTAGATAGCGTTGCTCTGAGACAAGGGAGTCGATGGTTTCTCTACTGCGTATGCGATGAATACGGCCTCCTGTACCACCTGCCTCAGCTTCAGCAGAGTCAAAGACGTCTACTGAACTTTCCGTGTTCCCTTTAAGAGAGCCAGATGACGGCATAGCAAGGCCATCACCCGCAGCAACGACAGAGGCGAGAGACACCTTACCAGAAGTGCAACCTTCACCAACGTTTCTGGGCGCAGACTCATCTGCAGGGTCTATTACCTTTTCAGTCCCCGTTTTCATTGCATCGGACTTCACTATTTTCGGTAGTGTTACAAGTGGTGGAAAAACGGTATAGGCGCGGCCAGGCACAAATAGTTCGGCATTCATCAGCAACTCTAGTTGGGGGTTGTTGCCGGCCACAGCATTCAGTCGCTCAAGAATTTTGTGGACTTCCACTGCCAGACCCTCTACACAAATGATCCGTACGTTGTCGTCCATCACTTCAAAGCCGCTAATGCCAGGTGGTGATACAACTTTAAACGGGGCCTCAAACGCCGATGGGGGAGAAGGTGGACGTGGGGGAGGCACTGACTGAGCCTTGTGGGGTTTGGCGCCTTCCTTCTTCTTTTCATGTACATGTGGGACCTCTGGCTCTGCTGCAGGTAACTCATGCTGATAAATGTTGCTCTCCCCACTTGCCTTCTTCAGTTGAAGAAGCACGGAGATAAACGCCTCTAACACGCTAGGCACCCATGTGGCTGTGTACGGCATTCGTATAATACCACGTGTGAGAAAGTGGCCGTGTGCAGGCCGGCCATCGCTCAAGACATGCGTTGGGGTCGGCAGTGGTATAAAAAAATCCACTCGTAGCGACACTGTTGTCCCTTTTGTGAGGCAGTTGTTATCGCGAGCAATGGTGGTGCGACTCGGCAGAAGACACACCATCTCACTGAACTCCCGCTGCTGGTCTGTGACGGCCGCACGCAGCAGCACCGTCCCGGTGCCCAGGCACATCCTCGCACCCCTAAACACAGACACCTCCATCCCTCGGAAGAAGACGTCCTGGTACACCTCCAAAGGGGAGCGGGCACCCAGAAATTTCACCCGACGAAACGTCACTTTGCCATCGGCCGCCACCTCCAGCTCGGGGGATTGAAGTTTGACGTCACAAAACTGAACCGTCACAAAGAGGGGGTCGTGCTGCACCGCCGTTCCTGGAATATCATGAATGGCGTGAATCTCAATTTTCAGCGGGCGGTACTTATTTAGTTTGGCCGGTGGCAAAAACGGGGTGCCGCAACGAAGCTCAAGAATGCAGTTCTGTAACATGGCCGCCGGTGGCACAGGCACAGCATGCCGCACCGACGATGACGTCAGAAGCTCAATGAGATCAAAGTCCAGCGAGAAGACTTGATCCGCGTCTTCAACTGCAAACAACTCCTCCTCCCTTTTCACACGGTCCTTCTTTACTGCGGGTTTTCCCGGCTTGGTGGCCGCAGCTCCAGCTCCGTCCAGGCTTTCTTGCGGCGATGGCCGGATGTACAGCTGCACCCTGTGCGAGGCGTTGCAGAGCTGCTCCAAAACTGGAGGCGACAGGGTCAGCTTCCGGCGAAGAAAGCAGGCGTTGATTTCCGCGGGTGCACGCTCCGCGTAGTCCAGCGCACCCGCCAGGGTTCTTCGGTCCTCCTGTCCGGCAATACTTGCGACAAAAAGGTGATCTGCCGGCGAATGCTGCTCACAAAACTCCACCGAGGCCCGGGCGCGAAACCACAACTCGAGGATGCGGTCATTCTCGTCATGTATCTCAAGGGGCTCGGCAACGGTGTGTCCCTTCGGCATCTTCGTCCGCCAAGAACAAAAGGGACCTGGAAAACAAAAATAAAGCACGATGGATCACGACGACAACAACAACATGAACAGAGAAACGGAGAAGCAGGAAATAAAAAAAAAAGAGTTTTATATGAGGAAGCAAGCCCCCTCCCTGTTAACAAACAGTACCAAAGCAAGGCATCTATCGTGGCGGCAGCCCCTTTCCCAGGGCACCGCTTGATAAGTTGATGGAGTCAAGTTTGCCATCAACTCTGGAGGCAACGCGATCAATGGACTCCCGCAGGGCCAGAAGGGGACTCGATGCAGGAACACGCCCGGACTGTAAAGGCGTCGTGGTGGTTCGACGTTTCGGCAATACCAGACAATTAAATCCGTCCTCCCCATTCATTGGATCTAGGGTGTACTCCACGAGTCGCTTCAAATCCTCCGCATTCCGAATCCCTTTGAGTTCCCGCATTTTCTTCATTGCCCCTGTTTCCTGAGAGCCCGGCATGGTTGCTCCGTGTTCTGCCAACTCTGTTTGACTGAACGCGTCTCGCACTTCTCGCTGCCGATGCGGCTTCTGAGCAGCAACAGAAAGAAGCTTCGACAAGTCTTGTTGCGCCGCCTCTGCGCTCTTTTGCCAGTCCCACAGGTGCCCCTTTAGGCGCCGCAACCTATTCGGACTGCAGCCCTTCGAAGTGGAGGAGGAAGCAGCTTCGCACACGCCTGCGGATTTCGCATGGCAAATAGACGCCGCCATTGTGAACAGTCTTTCGGCCAGGTGATACTCCCCATGACGAAATAAACTTGAGCCCAGCTCAGCAAGATCAGATACACTAATGGCATTCATGATGGTGGATTCTTTTTTAAGTTCTTGATTTGCCTCAACAACCTCCACTGCCTTCCTGTGAAACCGAAGGACATCCTCGGTTGTCGGTGACAAATTGGCTGCCTTGACATAAAGTGGAATGAGGCTCATATTATCTACTCCCAAGGCACGCTCCCGTGAGCGTATTTCAGCCTTTAGGCGCCCCAGTTCTCCCATAACGATACTGTCGCTCGCGTCCACACGGTCGCCCGTGTAGCGCACGCCCAGCTTGTCCGCCACATGCTTCAGCAGCTTCACCGTAAATGCATCTCTCGAGTTGGTCTCATTAGGTTCCTGCTGTCCATCCCTTGGCTGCGCAGACGCCATAAAGAGGCAATGTGACAGGGCCCACCTGCGTGACTGCTAGTCTGCCCCCCTCGTCACGATAGGCGGGGAGGATCTTGTATCCACCAAGTGTGCATCATGAATACGTTGCCCGAGGGTTGTCGCTCGGCCAACCAGAAGAACAAAAACGGAAGGAATAAACGAGCAACCGAACACACATTCCACACATGGCGACTAAAGGTGACAACAGTCGATGCAGCGCGAAGACAAACAGACGCACACTGCATGCACAAATTTCACATCTCTTAACCACGTGTTGATTACGAAGCGGCTTGTCCTTGGCTCTCCATAGCCGCCCAAGGAACCCGCAGCGAGGCAAATCCTACCGGCGTGGATGGGTGGGTTGACAGGAGGGGAGGGAAAAAAAAAAGAAGACAAGTGCCTACCTCCCAGGGCGCAAAGAGTGCCTAGACATCGTTCACCAAGACAAATTCAAGGAAGGCGACATCAACGTAGTTCCAATTAGAGAAAGTAATCGACAAGTCCTCATACACCCAAGTTAATTTCCCTTCAGTTCCTAAAATCGGCGCCAAACACTCTCGCCAACCCATGCCAAAGAAAAGTTATAAGAACAGTGACAATACTAATTATCGGAAGGCCAAAGCTTAAACGCGCGACCACTATTCATTCGAAACCTACTTATGCTTACTAACAAGAACATATGTAAATAATATTACATCCTCTTGTATCTCATTTGCGGCTCTTCTTCCTTCGCATTATAGCATTTATTCTTCTGCCTCGCCAGAACCCATCATTGTACCAGTAATTTTAGATGCAACCGTAATGTATCCCGCCGGGTGCAAGAGATTTTCGTTGTTGTTGTCTGTTTGTTTGTTTTTCTGGTTAGCTCAGGGAGCAACAGAGCCGTAGGCTACCTGTGGTTCCGCCGGCAAGCGCTTACTACGCTCTCTTGAACAGATCCACATCCCCACCAGCCACAGGATGAGAATTATAAAAACAACAACAGCTGCCAAGCGAAGAAAGGGTAGTGAGCGCCTTACATCGAGCCCCATGAACGAGTGCACGTCTGGCTCGTAGTCCAAGAAATTCATGGTGGACTCCATCAGCTGAACGTGCATTGTAGTGTCATCGATCTCCAGCGCAGCCACATGACCAGGATCGCCCTTCTTCCAGCGACTCAAACCGAAATCAATTGCAAGCAAGCGTCCATCACACAGACGCCAGTCCGAAAAATCCTGTGCGTTATGCGGCACATGACCCACCACCACCGATTTTATTCCAGGGAACTTCTTCGTTAAGATTTTCTTTAGTTCGGGGCATCGGACATAATAAATGGAACGGACAAGTATGGGATTTGCAACTTCTTGGGCCCTCTTCTCATTAAGGTTCAGTGCCGTCTTTCCCATGGGGGTCTTATTATTATGGACCAGTGCGTCACGCATAGCTGCATTGAACTCATGCACCGCCTTAATCCCATTGATCATGTTCCCTGTGGCGGTTGAAAACCCCCCATGCATGAACATAAACTCCTTGTGGTGATAGATGGCTTTTCGCGTGCGAAGATACATCCCCAGTGCAGTTCTGTTGGAGAGCATCTCCGCGCGCCCAAGCTTACCGCCTGAGTGTGCTAGGCTTGCTGGGTCCACGGCCTTGTAGTCTCCAAGCAGGTTTCGAATCTCATGATTACCAAGAAGCTGAATAACGTTGCCACCCTCGGCCTGTGCCTCCTTTTCCAGCTTCATGAGCAGCCTCACAATCATGAGGTCGTCCGGGCCAACATCAAGGACGTCGCCAAGCTGCACCAAGTAGGTGTCCTTTCCGATCCAGTGCTGACGCTTATCCACCAAGCCCGCCAGGCTCAAAATGGAAAGCGTCTGATTCAAATCGCCATGGAGGTCACCCACAGCGACGATGCGTCGCCCCGCACAGTGGTTTGCACCGGCAAAGGAAATTAAAAGGACCCACAAGTAGAACAAAGCAAGTGGCATTCCTCTTGAAAGAAAGAAACCAAGGCAAAAAAAAAAAATGTATATGATTTCGAGGAGCAAAGAAATTTAAAGAAAATCAAATAATCAATAAATAAACTTCGAGAGACTAAACGACTTGAAAAGCAGAAATGAAAGAAAAATAATAACAATAAATAAATAAAATGCGCCCGCAGTACATGCACTTGAGCACATTTTCATACATCCACGCACGCAGCAACTAGCACGACACACACGCATGTATATATATATATATGGAATACAATGAAGAAGGGATAGAAAAACGAAACAAATTTTGAAGCAAGTATGCATGTATACATGACCATTGAAAGGAAACTAAAGAATCGATGGATGGAAGGCTCTGAAACTAGAAACTTTCAGGCCTGGCTGTTGTAGTCCGATTGCGCAAGTGCATCCATCTCCACAGACCACATTTCATCGGCCATCAGTTTCCCAGTCACGCAATCAAACCGCATGCCTAGGCAAGGCTCCAATATGACGTCATTAAGTCGACGCACGAGTTGCTCACCAGGCTCAATTACGTACCGCTTGTTCCAGGCATGTAAGAGCACTAAACACACCGCCGATACAACCCCAACAACGGGAGAAGTGTACTCAAGAAGACGGGCAAGAAATCCCTCTGGTGCAATTGCCAAGAGTGGCAACACTACGGTGAAAAGAAAGACAAAGCAGCTCTCCAGCAGAAACACTAACGAGCAAACAGCCTTCAAAAGCTGAATAAAGTGATAAGACCGATCCTGCCTCAGCACAATGTGCTGCAAAGCAACCTCGAATGCCGCCGTCCCTGCCAAGTCACGTTCCTTATTGAGTGTCTTCATTTTTATTTTATTATTATTATTTTTTTTTTGCTTTCCTTCTTCGTATTATCAGTACTCTCAGCCGTCCTCCAAGCCCTCAACCACACACACACTACAATCACCACTCACTACAAAACTGAGCTGAGGAGAATGAAATGAATATCATACTGACAGAAACAGAAGCAAAGAAAAATGGTAAAAAAGGAACAAGGAAGAAACTAGCAGGAAATAAGAATAATAATAATAATATATATATATATATAATCCTTCTCATCGCAATTTAAATGTGTATGGACATGTAGAAGAGGCGGCGGCAACACTCTCAAGTCATTCCCTCTTCCTCTCCGCACGGTAAGAGGTGTGAGAAAGTAAGTCCCTCGGCTATTGTAGTAGATTACATATACAACACGAATGGACAAGAAGTAAAACAGAGCACGCACCACCAATGGAACCAATAACAAGAAAAGGGGAAAAAAAGAAGTAAAAACAAAAAAAGTGGGCGGAACTCCCTTCGTGCATCCACACTATTTTCTCCCGTTGTCTTTGCCCTTTTCTTCGGAGTCCTGTCGCCTTCTCCGCTGCTCCTCTTGGTACCGTCGTCTCTCAATTGCCTCATCCAAAAGCAAACGTGCGTCATCCTCAGCGCGGAGCCGCTCCTCCGCCTCTCGGTGCAAACGGTCCGCTTCGTCTTTTTGCATGCGCTTCACCTTTTCCAAGTTCGCCGTGACTGTTGCCTTCCACGTACCGCGCAACTCCAGTAACTTCTTGAGCTCCTCCTCCTCCTCAGCCTCTTTTTGTGCTTTTATTTGTCGACGCTTCTCCGCCTCCTCCTTTGAGAAGAGTTTTTTCAGGTTACGTCCAATGTAGTCCGCTGGCTTTTTACGGGAAGCGTTCTCCAGCAAAGGGTCACATCCCGAATCTAGTAGAAATGCGATGAGGTTTTCCCACTCTTTTGAATTTGGCCGCTGATAAATAGCCGCAAGGTGAAGAGGCGTGTTCAATTCACCATTTTGAACGTTCACAGCGGCTTTGGCATCCACAAGAAGTTTGAGAATGTTGTAATCGCAGCGAATAGCGCAGAAGTGAACCGGCCGATTGCCTTGGCTATCTGCAAGGTCGCAGGCGGCGCCTTGACGGATCAAGTATTCCACCACCTCTTTTCGGCCCATTTTCACGGCCATCAGAAGAGGCGTGGTGTCGTTAAAGTCCCGTTGATCCACAAAGGCACCGTGTTCCACTAACCACTGCGTCACGCGAACTTCACCATCCGAAGCGCTTTTGTGAAGTGCCGAGCACTTGTTCCTGTCAAGCTCGTTCACCTTTTCAGCGGGGTCAACGCTGCGCTTCAACAAGATTTCCATACATTCGACGCTGCCACACGCAGCTGCCGTGTGAAAGGGCGTGGAAAGCGTTGCGGCCTGCACAGTGTCGTCGGCGCCGTAATCTAAAAGAGCCTCACAACACTCGACATAATTATTTCGAACAGCCTCATGAAGCGGGGTTCGTCCTTGAAAATTGGCCGCATTGACATTTCCTGAAAGCTGAGTAACGGTATACGCCAGCATAGTTGTATTTTTGCCCAACGACAAATGAACCAGCGTATTTCCAGATTCATCAATACACTTGGAGACATTTTCGCTGACAGCTAAAAATTCTCGTCGAAGGCGCACTAAGGTATCCATGTCGCCCCGCACCACGGCCTTTCGAACTGCATCCAAAAGATCCTTGGGCCCCTGTGGACCGCCTATGGAGTTCACCGAGCTCATCCGTCTCCTAAAAAATCAACAAATTCTTTTTTTTGAAGTAAGGATGCGAAAACAATAATGAGAATAAATATCCCTCTCTAACAAGCATGTTCTCCATTAGCTCACCGATGAAAGGGAAAAAAAGAAGCAAGCACAGATACAAACAATCGTTTAATATATATATATATATATATATATATCCAGCGGCCCATCATTATTATATTATTGTGTGTCTTTTCTCGCTGTCTTCTTGAGGAACTGAAGAGAGAGCGGAAGAGAAAGAGCAGATGTTTTTACTCGAGAATTACACCACAATCATGTAACCACTCTTTAGTTACAATGGTTACACCCAGCATCATCGTTGCAGATTCCTTCGTTTCAGAGCGTACGGAGCGTTGCAAAAAGGCAAACGTGACATACTCAGGCGGAGGAAATGTTCGCGCTATAGAACTTGTTGGATGAATATAGGATATCATTGAGCGACCCAAGAGAATATATGGAGCTTTTGTTGTCTTGTTATCTTTGTACTCTACACCATGATCGCGACACTCTTGAATACTGGCTCGCCGAGCAACTTGATCCAGAAGCCCATGAATAAACAACTTCCTTATGGTTATTTCCTGCTCCTTGGAGAGCTTAACCAAACCATGATCATTGAAGTTTGCCTCAGAGTTCATTGTTCCAATATCATTAGCATCCAGTGTGTCATCAACTTGTTCTACAACCGCATCCTGCCTCATTAATGTCTGCAGCTGCCGCTTCAGCTGACGGGCCTCCGAAAGACTTTTCTGCACCAGACAATAGCGATGGCAGTTCCGTGAAGAAGAATCGTTTAAATACACCCCAAAAGCATTTAAAGACGTAATCAGGTCACTTCCAGGGTTTAGCAAAGAGGAAACAAGAGATCGACGCTCATCATCCGGGCTGTTAGGTTCATTTCTCTTCCATTTCAACCGATTTCCTTCACCGGTAAAGACACTGGTTGTGGTTGAGTAAACCGATGTTATCATGACTACCATGGTAAGAATAGAGTCCGGAAGCTTTAGATCCAAGGCCTCCAGAAGTACCCGTGAAAAACGGGGAGGGATTGGATACGCCATCAAACGCTTACCCAGCGTGGTAATGCGTCGCTCACTTTGGGAGTCCAAGGCCCCAATAAGCGTCAAATGTGTTAACGCACGTTTCAAGTCGTTCTCTTTTGGAGGCGAAGGAAATGGAAATGATCCAACGTTATCAATACCCAGGTGTTTCATCAAGAGTACCACTGATTCTAATGATGTTCTCAAAATTTCGGGTGCGCTATGTTTTGGCATAATGTTGGAATACACCGCCGTGCTATATAAACGGTAACAATGCCCAGGTCCCACACGCCCTGCACGCCCACTACGTTGTTCCGCAGAAGCTTGACTTGTCCACTCAACACGAAAACAGCTTGCCCCGGTCGATTCATCTATAGATTTCGTCTTCACACGACCCGTATCCACCACATAACGAATATTTGGAATAGTAATAGATGTTTCAGCCACATTTGTAGCAATAACGCAAAGTCGTTTCCCTGTTGGAGGTTCTTCAAACACTTCTTGTTGCTTTGAAAAATTCATAAGCGCATATAGAGGAAGAATATGCAATGAATTTAACTCCCCATTAACTTCATCCTCCTCAGAGCATTCTTCATCCTCATCACATGTGGCGTCTCTAGGCCTTTTTTTTGCAGCGTATGCATCCCCCTCGTTATCCTGTTTTTCTAGGGCATATTCTTCAACAGCAAGTCCAAATTCGTCCTTTTCAACAGAAGCGGCGGCCGCATCCTCCTCAGAATCGGAATCGCTGTCATCAACATCATCCCCGCCTCGTCTGTGTGGAAGTAAACTATGTTTTGAATACTCCTTTTCGTAGTATTCAATTCGAATTTTGGCGTAATGTTCGCGTAGACGTCCACAGAGGGATTCAATTTCTTCTTGTGTAGAAAGGAAAACAAGAACTCCACCAGGTGGTAATTTCTTGTGTATTTGACAAATTTTTCGAAATGCTTCATCAAGGTAATTTTTTAACTCAGTCCGTTTTGCAAAATGATTTGTTACAGGAAAGCGACGCGCCTCCACGTTGATTACAGGCGGTGGAATAGGAAACAGACGTTGATTTTCCTTAAAATCTGCAACCCTCATCGTAGCAGACATAA